AAGGTGAGCCCTTTACTGAGGACTGACCGTTCGTCCTCAGTAAGGGGTAGGTCTGGGGGGATAGTGAAGACTCGGCAGGGCTGGGTGCTGCTGTCTCCTCTGGAGGTGCTGGCTGTGGAGGCTGTGGGCGGAGCTGTGTCGGCGTCGGCTGTGGGTGGAGCTGCGTCGGCGGTGGGCGGAGTTGTGCCGGTGTCGGCGGTGGGCGGAGTTGCGCCGGCGGTGGGTGGAGTTGCGTCCGCGTCGGTGATGGGCGGACCGGTGTCGGAGGTCGGAGGAGCGGGGTAGGCGGCGGCAGTCGCGGTGAGGGTGGTCGCGACTTCAGTGTCGGTGGCAACGGCAGCGATGGTGTTTGCTGTCCCGGAAGTGGGGAACCCGGCGGTGGCGGATGTGACGTCATCTGTGGGTTCTCCGATAGTGGCCTCATGGCCAATGGCGGCAGACCCATTGTGGGGAAGGTCCTGGGTATAGCTGGGGATTTGGGGGGTGGAGGAAGCCCGTTTTGGGTGGTAGGCACCAGTAAGTTTACTGTACTTACGGTTTTTAGTGTCCAATAAAGCTGAGTAGAATTGGGAGTTCAGGTTGTGGATCCTACGAAGAATAAAAAACAGGAGAGGTCCTTTGCAGGTCTGGGAGAGGGAGGCTCTGAGCTGGGGTAGGCTTGATTGTAGTGTCTGGAGATGCCGGCGCATTGCTGCAAGTGTGTGTTTCAGGAGTCGCAGGGAGAAACGCTTCTGAAGGATCTCAACACCATGAGTGTAGATATTATCACGGTTGGGGCCAAATTGGGAAGGCTTGAATGTGGATTGTAGTCCATTGGGGATGATCTGGTTCCGTAGGCAGGTGCTAAGGAAGGTGATGTGGCTGTAGTACCTGGTTTGCTTCAGGACGTGGTCGAGCAGTTTCAGGGCCGAAGAGATTACGAGAGAGTTGCAGTGGGAGAGAGATCCCGTTTAGCATGCCTTCTTTCATTGCTCAGACTATTGTGTATAGGAGTTGGGACATCATGTTGAGGTTGTACAGGACATTGGTGATGTCACTTTTGGAGTACTCAGTACAGCACTGGTCATGCTGCTACAGGAAGGATATTATTAAATTGGAGAGGGGTCAGAAAAGATTTACGAGGAAGTTGCCGGGACTAGAAGTTTTGAGTTATATGGAGAGTCTGATAGGCTGGTACTTTTTTCACTGGTGTGCAGGAGGTTGAGGGGTGGTTTATAAAATTATGAGGGGCATAGATAAGCTTAAAAGCAAAGGTCTTTTTCCCTAGGATGAGGGAGTTCAAAATTAGGGGCATATTTTTAAGGTGAGAGGAGAAAAATACCTGAGGGGCAACACTTCCACACAGAGGGTGATCTGTATGTTGAATAAACAGTCAGAGAAAGTGGTAGATGCAGGTACAGTTACAGCACTTAAAACATATGTGGACAGGTATATGAATGGGAAAGGTTTAGAGAGATAAGAGCCAAATGTAGGCATATGGGGTTAGTTTAGTTTGGGAAACCTGGTCAGCATGGATGAGTTGGACCAAAGGATCTGTTTCAATGCTGTATTATGCTATGAATAGCTCTGTAATTGTAATATCAGTGATTTAATATAGCATGGCAGTGGAATGTGCTCTATTATGTGATCTCATTGTTATTATTCATTTCAATTGAAGTAAACATCAGAAGGTATGTTAAACAGATGACAAATTGAGCTCATCCATTTTACACATTATTACAAGGTTAAAATTGTCCCCGCAAAGTAGAACGATGTTAAGAGGAGAAAATTGCAGAATGACAAAAATCTCTAGAAATAAATACACAAATGCGGGCTGTGTAGAGGGAACTCCATGCTAATTTGGCTGCCCCACATTTACTCTGCCAGAAATTAACTCTGGAGGCCAAAAATAAGAAAGCAATCCTTTTTCAACACTGAGAATAGCTGCAATTTGTCACCAGTAGTTTTGGATTAGGGAGTTGGAGTAAGTTAACTAATTACTGGTTCTTAGCATCACAAACTGACCACTGCTGTACAGCAATATTTGAGCATCGTGATTACTTCTGGTTGTGAATTCCTTTAAGGTAATGTGCTCAATGAGTGACCAATTCAAACAGAAATATAAAGAAAAGGCACTTGACTGAAGGACTGGAGTACATGTCCCTCTGGCAGTAGCCCATCCTTTCAGACAAGGAGGAGAGAAAATTAGCCAGAAAATATTGCAGCATTGAGGTTAGGTAGAATAAGAAGAAAAGGGAGGCACACAAAGCTGGACTGACCTTACTGTGAGCATACACAACAGATCCCAGCAACTTCCAGGTTCCACCCCTACGATCCATCCGTACCATCCGAAGAATCTGTAGGAACCTCATGCTACGGAGTGCTGAAGTTGCAAAGATATTTCCCTTGGTCCCAGCAGCTATCACAGCAACAGAGGCAACAAATACTATAAAATCTGAAATGCAGAAAGGATATGAAAATTAAGATCTGAAAGTTGAAGTTACCACTGTTGCAGTCCTCTCCCTATTCATCCAAACTTCTTAACTTGTGCACCGGTATGGATTACAAGGATACTTTCAGCATTCCAGAACCTTGCCTGCTGATCATTCTTCAAATGTAAATCGATACAGTCAATCATTGGGAGACTATTTGATTAGTTGTGACCAGTAAAATGGAGCTCAGCTAAATAAAACAAAGAACTGGAGATGCTGCAGATCTAAAACAAAAATAGAAATTGCTGGTGAAATATGTAAGAATTTTTCTGAGTGGCTGTGGTCATTCTTAGAAGGGAGGGCAAGCAGCCAGAAGTCATGCCACACACTGGTACTAACAAAACAGCATGAAGAGTGACAAGGTCCTGCAAAGAACGTTTAGGGAGTTAGTACTAAGTTAAAAAGCAGGACCTCTCGGGATCACTCCCTGCGCCATGTGCCAGTGAGACTAGGAACAGGAAGATAGTACAGTTAAATAAGTGGCTAAGGAGCTGCTGTAAGAGGGAGGACTTCAGATATCTAGATTATTGGGATGTCTTCCAGGGCAGGTGGGACCTGTACAAGAAGAATGGGTTGCACTGAAACTGGAGAGGCACCAATATTCTTGCGACTGTTATTTGGGAGGTTTAAACTAGTATGGCAGGCGAGTGGGAACCAGCACAGTAGGTCAGTAAGTGAAATGACCAAGAAGGAGTTAGAGACAAAGACCAGTAAGGCTAACAGGAAGAACAGAGAGGGACAGGTTACTGAACATGGTGGAACTGGCAGTTGGAAGTGTATTTGTTTTAATGGGAGGAGTATGACATGTAAAACAGATGAACTTAGAGCTTGGATTATTACATATGATGTTGCAGCTATTACAGAGACATGGTTGAGATAGGGAAAACACTGGCAGCTTAATATTCCAGGATTTAGATGTTTCAGGCGAGACAGAGAGGGATGCAAAAGAAGTGGGGGAATTACATTACTGATTAGTGAGGATATCACAGCTGTACTGAGGGAGGACACCTTGAAGGGCTCATCAAGCGAGGCCATATGGACAGAGGTCAGGAATATGAAGAGTGCAATCACTTTGATGGGGTTGTACCACAGGCCTCCCATCAGCCATGGGGAGATACAAGAACAGATATGTGGCCAGTTTATGGAAAAATTTAGAAACAACAGGGTTGTTGTGATGGGTGATTTTAACGTCCCCTATATCAACTGGGACTCCCTTTGTGGTCTGATTAGTAAGTCTGTACATAGATGACACAAAATTTGGGGGAGCTGCAGTTAGTGAGGAGGATTGCCATAGGATACAGCAGAATACAAATAGGATGGAGACTTGGGCAGAGAAATGGCAGATGAAATTTAATCTGGACAAATGCATGGTAATGCATCTTGGAAGGTCTAATGCAGGAGGGAAGTATACAGTAGACAGCAGAACACTTAGAAACATAACATAGTAAGGGATCTAGGCGTTCAGGTCCACAGTTCCCTGAAAGTGGCAACACCAGTGGATAAGGTGGTCAAGAAGGCATATAGCAGACTTGGCTTCATCAGTCAGGGCAGAAAGTACAAAAATTGGCAAGACGTTATGCAGCTGCATAGAACATTAGTTAGGTCACATTTGGAATATTGTGTACAGTTCTGGTCACCACAATACCAGAAGAACATGGAGGCTTTGGAATGGGTACAGAAAAGGTCTACCAGAATGTTAAGAGACAAAAAGAAACTGCAGATGCTGGAATCCAAGGTGGACAAACAGGAGGCTGGAAGAACACAGCAGGCCAGGCAACATCTGGATGATACATTGGATACTTTTCCTTCAATTCTTCCTACTTTCTCCAAATGCAAGGGGGTTGCCATGGGCAGTCGCATGGGGCTCAGCTACGCCTGTTTGTTTACTGTTCCCCAGCTCTTTCGCAATTACATCAATGACTAAACTGGTGTTGCATCCTGCACCCAGGCTGAACTGGAGCAGTTCATTGACTTCGCTAACAATTTCCACCCCACCCTCAAATTTACTTGGTTTATCTCGGACACCTCCCTCCCCTTTCTTGACCTCTCTGTTTCCATATCTGGCAACAGTTTACAGACTGACATTTATTATAAACCCACAGACTCCCATAGCTACCTGAACTACATCTCCTCCCACCTGGTATCCCACAAAAACTCAGTCCTGTTTGCCATATGTCTCCGTCTCTGTTGCATCTGCTCTGATGAGGAGACGTTCCATTCCCAAGCATCCCAGATGTCCGCCTTTTTCAAACAACGCTCTCCCTTTGTCGTCCAGACAGCCCTCCATCGCGCCCCCTCCATTCCCTGCTCCACAGCTCTTAACCATCATCCCCCTCCAAACATAATAATGATAGGGTCCCCCACATTTCACCTCACCAGCCTCCACATCTAATGTATCATCCTCAAACACTTCCGCCAACTCCAATTAGACCCCACCAACCAGAACATCTTCTGGTTCTGAGGAAGGGTCACCGGACCCGAAACGTTAACTCTGTTTTCTCCTCCACAGATGCTGCCAGACCTGCTGAGCTTTTCCAGCAACTTTCTTTTTGTCCATGATTTACAGCATCCGCAGTTCTTTTGGTTTTTATCTTCCACTCCCCACCCCTTTCTGCCTTCCGCAAGGACCATTCCCTTCGCCACTCCTTAGTTCGCGCTACACTCCCCACCAACCACTCCAACCTATCCGGTACCTTCCCCTGTAACCGTAAAAGATGCAACACCTGCCCACACACCAACTCCCTCACCTCCATTCAGGGCCCTAAACAGTCATTCCAGGTGAGACAGAGCTTCACCTGCATCTCCTCCAACCTAGCCTATTGCATCCGGTGCTCCTGATGTGGTCTTCTCTATGTTGGTGAGACCAAACATAGACTAGGTGACCGCTCCGCCTGGCCCATAATGGCCACCTTAACCTCCCAGTTACCGCCCATTTCAACTCCTCGCCCCACTCCCCTCTGACGCATCTGTCCTCAGCCTCCTCCAGTGTCTCAGCGACTCAGACAGTCCAGAGGGCTCAACACTGAGTTCTCAAATTTCAAATCACCTTCCCACCCATCCGCCGGCTTCTCTTCCAGCCCCATCTCTCCCTTCCATTCCACCTTCTGACCCTCCCTTCTAGCGACCAATTGGATTCATCCCTCCCATCGACCAACCAGGTCATACCTACCACCAGTAAAAACTGAAAGAACTGAGGATGCTGTAAATCAGGAACAAAGACAGAAGTCGCTGGAAAAGCATCTGTGAAGAAAAAAATCAGAGTTAACGTTTCGGGTCCGGTGACCCTTCCTCAGAACTCAGATGCTGCCAGACCTGCTGAGCTTTTCCAGCAACTTCTGTTTTTGTACCTATCACCAGTGTCCACCTATCACCACCATTCCTCATCCACCACTCCCCTCCCCCTTTATCTGCAGCTCCTCCTACCCCCTACATCCAGTCCTGAAGAAGGGTAATAGTCAAAATATTGACTGCTCCTTTCCTCCAGATGCTGCCAGGCCTGCTGTGTTCTTCCAGCCTCCCGTTTGTCTACCAGAATGTTGCCTGGTTTGGATGGTATTAGCTATGAGGAGAGATTGGACAAATTTGGTTTGTTTTCACTTGAATATCAGAGGCTGAGTGGTGATCTGATGGAAGTTTACAACATTATGAGAAGCATGGATAGAATAGACAATCAGAGTCCTTTTCCCAGGGTAGAAATGTCAACTGCTTGGTTGACATTGGTTTAACGTAAAATGGGGAAGTTTAAAGGAGATGAGCGGGGCAAATTTTTTTTTACACAGAGGGTGTTAAGTGCCTGGAATGTGCTGCTAGAGGAGGTGGCAGAAGCAGATACAATAGCACTGTTTAAAATGAATGTTGACAAATACATGAATAGGCAAGGATTAGAGGCAGAGGTTTTTATTTTAAAAAGGCACATGCTTGGTGGGCTGAAAGGCCTATTCCTATGCTGTACTATTCTTAGGTCTGGCAGCATCTGTGGGGAGAAAACAGTGTTAACGTTTCAAGTGTGGTGATGAAGAGTTTCGCAGTTTCTGTTTTTGTTTCAAATTCAATTTTTTCTTTTTGTCCTATTGATACTTAACATTCACACATATACACACACTTACATGCTCGAGACAGGGCCATTGGGGGTTAGAATCATGGTTTTTTCTCCCTCCAAAACACATCAGCACCAATATCACCAATGACCCCTTTTGCTCAGAGTATCAAACAAAAAACACAAACCAAGCCAGATATATAATCCATTGTTTTATTGGTCAATGCATTCATCAATGATCCATTAAGGCTACACTGAAAAGGTGCAGGTAAAGGTCCAAAATATCTTTCTTTAGCCTAAGTACCCATCACAGTTGTTCATCTCCTTAGTCCCTTTTATTAAATCCACAGAAAAGGGAACATTCAATCGCCGGTTGGATTGAGCATGTTTGTCTTAAAACAAAAATAGTCAGGGACCAAGGTCTCGATTGGAGGATGCTGAGGGTGAAAGAAGTAGGAGTGAAGATGATAGGTTTGAAGTATTAATTACAAAAGAACAAACTCGAGCCTTTATAAGTTTATAAATGCAATGAGGGCTAAAAGACATGGAGAATTTTGGGGTCCTCGGAAAGCATTATTAAGATAATAACGTAACGTCGATTTCAACACAATGAGGTTGTACGGAACAGGAATGGTTTAAAACCCCTACATGGAAGAAGACAGAAGAGTTCAAAGCAGCAAGGTTCAAGGTTTTACAGATGAAATGGAAAGGCAAGAAAGATTCAAATGGAGAGCGGTTAGATATCAGACATAAGATAACAAATAATTGTGGTGTACCACTGAGCCATGACATGTGTGCCGTTGTTCTCCAAGTAAATGCTGCCTATTCTTTATCATAAAAATTCAGTTTAAACTTGAAGAAAACTAGTTACCTTTCTTGCTGCAGTTGCTGTGTGAATTGCAATTTTTGAATTGATATATCAGAGAC